CTCTCTCTCTCTCTCTCCCTCCAGTTGTCCAGTGCATTTGTGAAGACTAAAGAGGGAAGGTGGGAGAGTTCCCGTTGAAAATGATTTACAATATTGAGCTTCCGAACCCTAAAAATATTTTTTTCTTATAAAAAAAAAAGGAACCCAAAAAATAATCGACTTTTAGGGTTTTGTAGATACTGCACCCGATGAAATACTCCGAATAAATTTTCTCAATTGATATTCACAAACCATAAAATTATACATAAATAAATAAAAAAACAAGTGTTGACTTTGTGTATTGACTAATGACAATAAAAGATTTCTTGGTATATAAGCTTTGTAGCACACAAAGGTAGGACTGGCTGGCATAGACCCAAATTCGATCACGGAAAATTGAAATACAGATAGATAGATTTAAATGCACTCATTAACACGTGCATGTGCATATATCAATCTCGATTTTGTAGCATATATAATTCCAAATTATATTATTTAATTCATATAATCAAAGTCTTGCAAATGTGTCTATATATATATATATATATATATATATATATAGGCTATAGTATCTTTCTTGTAGTATGTTCTCTATTTTTGTGGAATGTTGACTTTCAACGATTAATAAACAAATTCAATTCAAGATCTCAACAAACAGTATACAATTCAACAAGCAATAATCATGCACATAAAACTCTCATTCTGGAAGATATATAAATACATGAAATAAGAAGATAAAATGATTACGTGGTTCAGTTTTGAAGAACGACCTACATCTATGGAAGAGAGCAACTCTTTATTAATTTAATGGCACCACCACTTGTTTACAGAGATTACAAAGACTCGCAAACTTATAAGAAATCGATGTTCTCTCGTATTTCTTTCCTCCCTAATCACTCTCTTTTCTCGACAGTAATTTAGTGTATGTATGTGTGCTAGCTAACCAGCTCAACTCCACTTGATTAATTGATCAAATTACTTCAATTCTCCACCTCGCGCGATCACTAATCTGTTCATCTCTCCATCGCATTCCCATCTTAAAGATCAATTATTCCTTCAACCTCCACCTAACTTAACCAATTTCAAAAGATGATTAAATTTAGACACGAATTAAGAGGTTTAGTTAGCATATCTGCACGATTTTCCAAAGAGTTATATAACCTAGCTCGACTATTCGAATCGATTTTGAACTTTCAATAATCTTATATTTTTCTTTTCATTTAATTTTTATTTTTATTAATTTGAAATTTAGGATATCCAAATATGTCATTGGGAAATTAAACGTTGCCCAAAACTGGCTTTCTGAGCCACCGCCCTCTGATAATGACTTAACACCTTCAATGAAATTCATCACAACTGCATCCACGCAGCAGATAATATATGTATTTTCTGTTTTACTATTTATAAATTACTCCGTATATATATATATATATATATTATATATACATAAATGTATTTTAATTCCTATATATTCAATTATTCATCCGGGAAAATTTCTTAGCAATGTACGAGGAATTCAAATCTCATGAAATTGCCAATGTGCTTTATGCAACTGGTTCAGATATTCTCACCGCATATGGCGAGAAAAATATTAATGTAAGAGATTTAATTATTTTAATTAATTAATTGTGTTGTTTTTATAATATATATATAATGCAGGAAAAAAATAATTTACTAATGCATATTAAATAATAAAAAATACAGATTAGCAGATACATGTGTGTTAATAATCCGAGATATTACTTCCAAGTGAACGACGAATACGTCAAGAACAAGCTCAAGCTGATTTTGTTCCCATTTCTGCACAAGGTAATTAATTTTCAATCTAATATATAATTCTTGTAATATTTAATTTAAATTTAAATTTAATAAAAAATATATATATTTGAGTACATGCAGGGAAGATGGATGAGAGCAATGGAGGATGATTCATCATCATTCAAAAGTGCGATGCATGATATAAATGCTCCAGATCTTTACATTCCTCTGATGGCATTTGTTACTTATGTACTTCTTGCTGCCTTCTTTCTTGGTATCAATGGAAAGTAAGTTTGTCTTGCCATCAATTAATAAATTACTTTTAACTAGAGGTGCAAGTTGGAACCGAAATTCCGCTGGTTTCGATCCGAACAGTTCTGATTTTGGAACAACTTTTTTTATTCCAATTTCCGATTTTTTTCGATTTTTTTTTTGGATTGAAATTGGAATTATATAATTTTTTGTTTTGGAATCTCTGATCTGATTTAATTTCTGACATTAATTCCGAAAAATTCCGACTAACGTATTCTTATCTTTCTATGAATATATACATCTAAAAAAAACGGGGTTTAGCCTACTTTCGGTTCTATTTTTTTTTTTATTTCCCGGAGATATAAAATGTTCTGATCCGCGCATGTATGTGTTGAATGCCCTATAAGAGTATACTAATTAATTAATTTTAAGACGAACGGTACAACTTCTTAGTTAACGATAGATGTTAGAATACTACACGATTGACGTACACGTCAAAATATCACAACGCGCGCGATCGATGTAGTTTTATGTTTTTGCAGATTCAGCCCGGAGTCGATAGGAGTGCAGTTCAGCACGGGATTGATGTGCTGGCTAATGCAAGTGCTTCTACTTGAGGGGACACTCCACTCCTTAGGTGGCGGCGGCGGCAGTGGAGAAATAATATTAGTACCGTTGCTCGATGTCGTTTCGTATGCCGGCTACACTTTTGTTGGAGCAGCTGTAGTAATGGCGGTTAGGGTTTCCCCACATCCAGTAAGGTGGGCCCACTTGATGTTCTGTGGGGCCACCTTGTGGGAGAGCTTCTGCATGGGGGTTTTGTTGGTTAAGATTGTGAAGAGGATACTCGTTTTCGAAGTTCCGATTTTCGATAAGCAAATGTATTCGACTAATAAGCGGAACTACGTTTTGCTTTTCGTTGCTGCAGCTCAATTTCCACAGCTGTTTTGGCTTGGAAATGTTCATTAATGGAATTAAATAACTACTAGTTCATTTTTGTTATAAAGAATTTATTTTAAGGGTTGAGGTATGGTCAAATTATGAAAAAGTCCCTTATGTTTGGGTAATTATAATCAGCCGTAACTATAAATCTTCTTATACGTCCACTCTTGCGGTTTCGAATTTAGAGGAATATTCTAGATTATATGGAATATTCTCAAATTTTGTACCCGTTTTATCCCATTCGAGCTCCATATTTTGAAGCAAGATGATCATAAGATGTGTTTTTAGGCTTGTATATATCAGATGGTGGTGCATCAGAAATTGTATTTTTGCACAAAACGAGGTTAAACTAAAGAACATTCCACGGTATCTAGATGATTATGTTGAATTTGACACCATAAGGGTGGAACTAGAACAAATTTAATAGTTGAGGGAGGTAGATGTAATTATCCAAACATGAGGGATTTTTTGTAATTTGACCATACCTCAGGGATGGTTGTAATTTACCCTATTTTAAGTGGTTAAAATTAAAATTATATAAATACCAATATTCAATAAATCATTTATTCCTTTTATTGATGATACATTCTCCCCTAGGAAATTACCAAAAAAACGAGAAACATTTAATTCAAGGTCAATAATATAATTAGATCAAAGATACGGGCGAATCGGGCGAGTCGGGAGAATGGGGAGTCGACGGGGTTGGTGGGGGGTCTTGTATTCCCGGCGGAGTCGGACTATGATCACAAGGCTTATAGCACATACATCTTTGGAAACGAGAGCATCGTCCGTACACAAATTTTTCGTGCATGCAAATCAAATTGCAGTTACGATTATAGCATCTTCTTCCTTTGTGCTCGCGGCTTCTCGACTTGCACATTCTCGTCGCTTCCGAACGAATCGTCGCCTCTTCTGCATACGTAACACACGATACAATATTACGTTAAAAAATTAACCAACATACGTGATAAATCCAATATTCTTTTAATTAGAAAGACTAGTTAATAATATTAATTACCAGCAAAGAGGAGGAAGAGTAAAACAAGAAGGCCGAAGAACCGTTTATCCATGTTTAAAGTATGATGAATTAATACGTACAACTGAGTGAACTCGTGTATATATAGGTTGTAGATGGAATTAAATGTGGGAGACTCGTTATAGCATTTGTGTAAACATTATTTAATGCCCATTTCTTTATTAATTTAGAGGTGAAATGTAAATTTTTTGTATATAGGAAAATTTAATTAGGTTTATTAGTCTATGTGTTATTGCATGTTAATATCTTGACTTGCATGATATTGAATTTTTAGTCGATAGAATTGGATTTGGGTCCAAACAGAATTAATCAAGAATTAAGCCCTTTAATCAGATTTCTACTTAAGTCGGCCCAATTCGTTCGGCCCAAACAACACAAAGCTCAATCGGTGACTTGACAGTCGTTTTTGATCATTTGATCTTGATCGTTGACTCTAAACTCTTTCTTCAGAACTATTTATTCGAGGTATTTCAACTTCGCCTCCTTCCCAACCTTAAAATTTGATTTTTTTTTTATATCTCGTCGTACCACCACATTGAATTTCTCCTTGGCATCTTACGGCGACACACCATTTTGACTCTAGGGATGGTTGTTTCTGCTCTCTATTGTGGGGACAATTTTACTTTTCCATCTATACAGTCAACCATTCAATGAGAGTGCGGGATGAGACACATACAAATTTGAATCTCTTTAATTCGAATTCTAGATCTCAGTTCTTTTGCGTGAGAGTAAGATCCACTTCTATGTTTATATATAGGTGTCAATTTTTTGTGTAATTTCGACCAACACTTACATGACAAATATTTTCACGAAAATTCGACACCTAAATTTCAACAGGTAAGTGTCGAAATACGTCTCTTACAAATTTCTTAAATAATTCCCATTTTTTCAATTACAAGCTTAGGAAGCAATTTCAAAGAATTAAAAAAGAAAATTGAAAACCTATTTGGTTATTTGTTTGCTTGTGGTTTAGTCATGGTTTTCGGACTATGGTTGTGGTAGGGATGGCGGTGTCGATGGGGTGGCCGGTAGTGCGGCGATGGCCCGTTGATCGGTTTTGGGGGAGGGTCGTTTCTTTAATAATTTGGTCCCGAACGAATTAAAGTGAGGAGTATGATTTTTCTTTTTTTGTATAAGTTATATATTTCAATAGGGGTCTCCAAGCCTAGAGGAAATTCAATCTTATAATTAGGACTCTTCAATCTTAAACATCATATAAATTAATCGAATTTGACAAGTTTCGACAATAAATTAAAAATACAAATTAAATGATGTTTAAATCTTTCTAATTTATTATTTACTACATGAGATGTTTAATAATTAATTTGAAAAATCTTTCTAATTTATTATTTACTACTAATTGATTTGAAAGATTATTTACTAATTGATCTAAATGATGTGTTTACAAAGTATTATTTACCCCTTTAAAACCTATTATTGCATGCATGCACGTAGTGAAAAGAATCAAGGATGAACATAACAGTAATTAAGATGATATTTTAATTACTAAATTGACATCACCAAATCAGTTTATTTTGCTTTAGTTTCTCAAAGACGAAAGAAATATAAAAATAAAAAATTATTCCAAGATTGCTGGAGATTTAAACGACACCGGTCCCGCCGGCGGTGGTTCTTGACCGGGGTTCAATGGTTCTTCGCACGGCTTATAGCATTGGCACTTTTGTGCTCGAGAGCATCTTCCGTACGTAAACTTCTCGTGCAAGCAAATTAAATGGCAATTCCGATTATAGCATCTTTTGCCCACGTACTCACGGCTTCTCGATTTGCACATCCTCGTTGCTTCCGAGTTCATCATCATCTCTCCTAATAACAATATTTATTATTATATAATGAAAAAAAATGTAAATTAGGGCTAATTATATATAACATAATTTCATCTACACGTGTAAGCAGAATAGATATTCGATGAAATTTATCGGGTTCAGAAGCAATATATAGAACTAACCAGCAAAGAGGAAGAGTAAAATAAGAAGCCCAAAGAACCTTTTGTCCATGTTCAATTGCATGATGTGTTTTAATTATTTCAACTATATAATTAGTCTTTATTAAGTATATTAATTATGAAAATGGTGAGCTTAATTTATAGTTGTAGATGTTAATCAATAATTAAAGACACTAGTAAAGATAATTAAATGCCCATTTCTTGAGTAGTTCTATGGTGAAAATTTTAGGGTGCCAAATTTTTGTAAGAGAAATTTGGATTAATTAATGTATATTTACACCTTTTGACTTTATATTACTGATTCATGATTTACATTATGTCATTAATTTCCGTCTTATATTTTGGATAT